GCTCTGCAGAGTTAACAACTCAGCTTTAACGTTGTGTTGCTCCGGTAAAGTCAGCTGGCAGACTTTCTGTTTAAAGCTGCAGATGTGATGCTGGCCAGGGATCATGGGAAAAAGCTCTTGTGCCGTGCTATAATCCTTTGACGTACATCAATGGCGGGCTGGGCCGAGGTCAAAGACTTATCACCCGGTGTGGGTGAGCGAGGTGAGCGGGGAGAGAGAGAAGAGGCGACGAGAGGGAAGAGAGAGAGTAACGCCGTGCCAGGAGTTTTATCACCTGGACATCGCAGTTCATCATGTTGTATTAAGTTGTGATCAATAAGGTGACAGGAAGTGACCCATCACAATAAAAGTCCAGTTAAACACTTTAAAGGTCTCCTTTGACCCTACATGAGTGTGTGACCGAAATGTTTCACAAATGTACAACTTGGAGCTACATTTCAGTGGACTGTGAACATGTCCTGTATTTCCAGTACAACGGACTGTCAGAGCTGTTTGTAAAGATCTCATGCTGTGGTGTTGCACTTGTCCCTAAATGTGAATGCAGTATTTTGTCCACACTGGGATCCTGTTGGAAGTTTTCCTCACAGCTTTTGGTCAGAATGTGTTATGTTTTGAACAGTAAATCTGAACAAAATGTTGCTAAACCTTGCTTGTTTATCTGGTTACAATGTGAGGTGGCTACACTTGTTTGTTGTTGCTTTGTGAAAATAGTTCCCAGGTTTGAACTTAAAATGTAACACAGTTGTTGTTTCTGCATTTATACAGAAAATAAAAATCATCGTGAGGATGAAGCTGAACCGGGAGAAAAGAAGATCACATATAACAGTGTCGCAGAACTCCAGTCCCTGATTGAAGGGGGGAGAGATAGAGAGCAGCACATGACGGGAAAGGAGAAAATTGAGTATTTAGAAAAGAAGATGAATAAACTTTGTGAAACGTTACAAAGGAATAAAGAAGAATGTAAGGATGTAGTACAGGCAGTTGATTCACTGAAAGGCTATAAGGAGGCACTGGACAAACACAAATCTGAACTCAACCATCTCTCTGGTTGTATGAATAAACAGCTTG